CATTTCTGAATTGAAAAACACAGTAGAAGGAATCCAAAGCAGGCTGGATGAAGCTGAGGATCGAATCAGTGAGATGGAGGATAAGGTAGAAAAAAGCTCCCAGAAAGAGCAAGAAATAGAAAAACGGCTCAAAAAGACTGAAGAAGCATTTAGGGAAATGCAGGACAACCTGAAACGCAATAATATCCATATAATAGGGATACCAGAAGGAGAAGAAGAGGAGCAAGGAATAGAGAACCTCCTCGAAAAAGTAATGATGGAAAATTTCCCTAATTTGAGGAGAGAAAGGCTCTCATGGATCCAGGAGGCACAGAGGACCCCACTCAAGAAGGACCCAAGGAGGTCCACTCCAAGACACATCATCATTAAAATGGCAAATGTCAAAGACAAAGAGAGAATCCTCAAGGCAGCAAGGGAGAAGGAGAAAGTAACATACAAGGGGGCCCCGATACGCCTAGGAGCTGACTTCTCAACAGAAACACTCCAAGCCAGAAGGGAATGGCAACAAATATTCCAAGCCATGAAAAGCAAGGGCCTACAGCCAAGGCTGCTCTACCCAGCTAGGCTCTCCATTAAAATAGAAGGAGAAATACGCAGTTTCCCAGACAAAAGAAAGCTAAAAGAATACATCTCTACCAAACCAGCACTCCAAGATATGCTAAGGGGACTGGTTTAAGCAGATGAAGGAAAAGAATGAGACAGAGAGGAACACAAGTACAAAGAGAAAAGATGAGTAAGTTTCTATCAGTAATATCTCTCAATGTGAATGGACTAAATGCCCCAATCAAAAGACACAGGGTAGCTGAATGGATAAGAAAACATGACCCACACATATGCTGCCTACAAGAGACCCACCTCAGAGCAAAAGACCTACACAGATTGAAAGTAAAGGGATGGAAAACAATATTCCAAGCAAATGGACATGAGAAAAAGGCTGGTGTTGCCATACTTGTATCAGACAAAGTCGATTTCAAAGCAAAGGCCATAAAGAGAGACCCAGAGGGGCACTTTATCATACTTAAAGGAAGAATCTATCAAGAAGACATCAACATTGTAAACTTATATGCTCCCAATATAGGAGCCCCCAAGTTTATAAGGAAATTGTTGGATGACTTCAAAAAAGATATAGATAGCAACACACTGATAGTAGGGGATTTCAACACCCCACTGTCCAAAATGGACAGATCTTCCAAACAAAACATTAATAAACATATCGTGGCGATGAATGAAACACTGAATCAAAGAGACTTAACTGACATATATAGAATCTTACATCCCAAAGAAGAAAAATACACATTCTTTTCAAATGCTCACGGCAGTTTTTCAAAGATAGACCACATGATAGGACACAAAGCAAGCCTCAGTAAATTCAGGAAAATTGAAATAATACCAAACTTTTTCTCAGACCACAAGGCCTTGAAACTCGAAATCAAACTCAAAGAGAAACTTCAAAAACTTGGAAACTCATGGAGACTGAACAGTACACTTTTAAACAATGAATGGGTCAATAATGAGATAAGAGAAGAAATAAAAAAATTTCTGGAAACAAATGAAAATGAACAGACAACTGTCCAAAACCTATGGGACACAGCAAAGGCGGTCCTGAGAGGGAAGTTCATAGCAATACAGGCTTACCTTAAAAAGATAGAAACATTTCAAATAAAAGACCTAACACGACAACTTGAAGAACTGGAGAAACAACAACAAATAAATCCCAGAGCAAGTGGAAGGAAGGAAATAGTCAAGATTAGAGCAGAACTGAATGACATAGAGACAAAAAGAACAATTCAGAGGGTCAACCAATCCAGAAGCTGGTTCTTTGAAAAGATTCATAAAGTGGACAAACCTTTGAGCAGACTCATCAAGAAAAAAAGGGAGAGGACCCAAATTAATAATATCAGAAATGAAAGAGGAGAAATAACAACTGATACCACAGAAATACAAATGATCATCAGAAACTATTATGAACAATTATATGCCAAGAGATTTGAAAATCTGGATGAAATGGACAAATTTTTAGAAAAGTATAATCTTCCAACACTGAAGGAGGAAGAAACAGAAAGCTTGAACAGACCGATAACAGTTGGGGAAATTGAAGCAGTCATCAAGAAACTCCCAGCACACAAAAGTCCAGGGCCAGACGGTTTCCCAGGAGAATTTTACAAAACATTTAAGGAAGAGCTAACCCCTGTCCTTCTCAGACTATTCCAAAAAATCCAAGAGGAGGGAAGACTGCCAGACTCCTTCTATGAGGCCAGCATCACCCTGATCCCAAAACCAGATCAAGACCCTACAAAGAAAGAAAACTACAGGCCAATTTCGCTGATGAACATAGATGCTAAAATCCTCAACAAAATATTGGCAAACCGCATCCAGCAATACATTCAAAAGATTATCCATCACGATCAAGTGGGATTCATCCCAGGGATGCAGGGATGGTTCAATATACGCAAATCAGTAAACGTGATACACCACATAAATCAAAGAAAAGACAAAAACCACATGATCATCTCGATAGATGCAGAAAAAGCATTTGACAAGGTACAGCACCCATTTATCATCAAAACACTCAGCAAAATGGGAATCAATGGGGCATTCCTCAACGTAATAAAGGCCATATATGAAAAACCTACAGCCAATATCATACTCAACGGGCAAAAACTGAAAGCTTTCCCACTAAGATCGGGAACACGACAAGGATGTCCGCTCTCACCGCTTCTTTTCAACATCGTATTGGAAGTCCTAGCCACAGCGGTCAGACAAGAGAAAGAGATAAAAGGCATCCAAATAGGAAAGGAGGAAGTAAAACTATCATTGTTTGCAGATGACATGATAGTGTACATAGAGAAACCTGTAGACTCTACCAAAAAACTCCTCAACCTAATAAGTGAATTTGGCAAAACAGCAGGATACAAAGTCAACATTCAGAAATCAAAGGCGTTTTTGTACACCAGCAATGCAATAGAAGAAGAAGAAATCAGGAAAAATATACCATTCGATATAGCACGAAAAAAGATAAAGTACCTAGGGATAAATTTAACCAAAGACACAAAAGACCTGTATGCAGAAAACTATACAACATTGAAAAAAGAAATTAAGGAAGACACAAATAAATGGAAGCATATACCGTGCACATGGATTGGAAGAATTAATATCCTTAAAATGTCCATACTACCAAAAGCAATCTATAGATTCAACGCAATCCCTATTAAGATACCAATGACGTATTTCACAGAAATAGAACAGACATTTCAAAAATTTATATGGAACCATAAACGACCTCGAATAGCTGCAGCAATTTTGAGAAAGAAACACAAAGTAGGAGGGATCACAATACCGGACATCAAACTCTACTACAAAGCCACTATACTCAAAACAATCTGGTACTGGCACAAGAACAGACCCATAGACCAGTGGAACAGAATAGAAAGCCCAGAAATAAGCCCAGGTCTCTATGGACATCTAATATTTGACAAAGGGGGCAGAAGCATAAAATGGAGCAATAACAGCCTCTTCAACAAATGGTGTTGGGAGAGCTGGATGGCTACATGCAAAAAATTGAAATTGGATCATCAGCTGACACCATACACAAAAATAAACTCAAGATGGATAAAAGACTTAAATATAAGTCGCAACACCATCAAAGTCCTCGAGGAGAACATTGGCAGGAAACTCTCAGATATCCCACGCAGCAATTTTTTCACTGATATGTCTCCTAAAGCAAGGGACATAAAGGAAAGAATAAACAAGTGGGACCTCATCAAAATAAGAAGCTTCTGCACTGCTAAAGAAAACGTCAGCAAAATGAAAAGGGAGCCAACCATTTGGGAAAATATATTTGCTAATGATACATCAGATAGAGGTTTGATCTCCAAGATATACAAAGAACTCACTCGACTTGACTCCAAGAAGACAAACGATCCAATCAAAAAATGGGCTAAGGACCTGGGCAGACGCTTTTCTAAGGAGGAGATACAGAGGGCCCAGAGGCATTTGAAAGGATGCTCTGCATCACTAGCCATCAGAGAAATGCGGATCAAAACCACCATGAGGTACCACCTCACACCGGTCAGAATGGCCATCATAAACAGATCCACAAACAACAGGTGCTGGCGAGGCTGTGGAGAAAAGGGAACTCTAGTCCACTGTTGGTGGGAATGCAGACTGGTGCAGCCACTATGGAAAGCAGTGTGGAATTTCCTCAGAAAGCTGAAAATGGAACTGCCTTTTGATCCAGTGATTCCCCTGCTGGGACTATACCCTGAGAACACCAAAACGCCAATACAAAAGAACCTATGCACCCCAATGTTCATAGCAGCACAATTTACAATAGCCAAGTCTTGGAAGCAACCTAAATGCCCATCAGTAGATGATTGGATCAAAAAACTATGGTACATATACACAATGGAATACTACGCAGCAGAAAGAAAAAAAGAAGTACTAAACTTCGCAACAGCAAGGATGGAACTGGAGAGCATCATGCTAAGCGAAATAAGCCAGGGGGCGAAAGACAAATACCATATGATCTCACCTATAAGCGGAACCTAACCAACAATGCAAAGAAGCAAGGCAAATATGACCAGCAACACTGAAAGGAAAAGAAATCAACAGAGACAAGAGGGAAGGGGGGCAGGGAAAGGGAAGGGAAGGGGAAAGGCAAGGAACATATAGCAAGGACTCATGGACAAAACCAAAGGGGAAGAGCTGAGGGAGGGAAGGTGGGAGGGGGCAAGGGAAAGAGGGGGGGGAAGGCAGAGACAAATGTATTTAAAAAGTAAATAAATTAATAAAAAAAAAACAACAACAACAATGGGACATTTACACAATGGAATATTATTCAGCTGTAAAAAATAAGAAAATTTTCACATTTGTGACACACAAGGATGGACCTGGAGAACACCAAGTTAAGTGAAACAAATAAGTCAGAGAAGGACAAACTGAAGCATTCATTTATTATCTTTCAGAAAGAAGTTATTGAAATACATTAAAACTAGACATCAGAAGCGCCGCGCCGCTTCCGTCGCCGCCGCCTAGTCCACCTTGCTCGCCAGGCTGCGACCGCCCTAGGACTTTGAATATGTCGGGGATCGCCCTCAGCAGACTTGCCCAGGAGAGGAAAGCTTGGAGAAAAGACCACCCATTTGGTTTTGTGGCTGTCCCAACAAAAAATCCCGACGGCACGATGAACCTCATGAACTGGGAGTGCGCCATTCCAGGAAAGAAAGGGACCCCTTGGGAAGGAGGCTTGTTTAAACTGCGGATGCTCTTCAAAGACGACTATCCATCCTCACCTCCGAAATGCAAATTTGAACCACCGTTATTTCACCCGAACGTGTATCCTTCTGGCACTGTATGCCTGTCCATCCTCGAGGAAGACAAGGACTGGAGGCCAGCCATCACAATTAAGCAGATCTTATTAGGAATACAGGAACTTCTAAATGAACCAAATATCCAAGATCCAGCTCAAGCAGAGGCCTACACAAGTTACTGCCAAAACAGAGTGGAATATGAGAAAAGGGTTCGAGCACAAGCCAAGAAGTTTGCACCCTCATAAGCAGCGACCTGCGGCAACATCAAAAGGAAGGGATTGGTTTGGCAAGAACTTGTTTACAACATTTGCAGATCTAGCATTGCTCTATACAATTACTAATCACCTAGGGGAGGCAGGCGGGCGCCATTTTCCATTTCCGCCACTGGTACACAGTTCTCCACTTGCTGAATTGCCCAGTTTTTCATACAGGGTCTCTTCCTTCAGTCTTTTGTATTTTTGATTGTTATGTAAAACTTGCTTTTATTTTAATATTGATGTCAGTATTTCAACTGCTGTAAAATTAAAAACTTTTATATTTCTACGAGTCCCTGAGGAGCTAGTTCCTTTTGCTCGTGGGTGCAGGCATGCTTCCCACTGTCAGAGCTACACATAGCCTCCAGCTGGCTGTATGAAAAAGAAATCGGCCTGTCCCCCGCCCTCGCGCCTCTGTCCTCTTTGCAGAACTCGGGTTGTGTTGCTATGAGCCTCAGATCCAAAGTCAGCCAGCCTCTTGTTTCTGCCCCACTTCCTTTGTGTTTATATGGCGTTTTGTCTGTGTTGCTGTTTAGAGTAAATAAACTGTTTATATAAAAAAAAAAACAAAAAAAAACTAGACATCAAATTTACTTATGGATTTGCTTGTTCTCTGAGTATACCACAAGATTGCATTTCTTTACAAATCTTTATTTTTATTTTATAGTTTTAAATTGACCTATAGGCATTAATTCTGGAATATATCATCTAATTTGCAAATACATTCAAGAATATTGGGTTGAACAGACTCAATGAAATTTTTACAAATTAAAAATTATAAATTAAAACAACAAAATAAAAGTAAGGTGTTATTAATTAATTATATAAATAGGAAAATAACATCTGCTTCATTTTTTGATGGAATTATTTCCAATATTTATTTTTGAGAATTTGTCGACATTAACAGTATTTGAATTCTCTACAAGAATTTTAGTCTATAATCTTTTACTGTTATTCAATATTTCATCATGTCAAAAATATTTTTCCAACATCTCTGAACTTATTTCAAGGTAGTAGTGATCACATATATGGAAAATGTTCATGTTTGCAAAGAAAAATCCCATGAACCAAACAAATCTCCATCACTAGATTATTCCAAAATGTGTAATTCTACAGTAAAGTTTTGTTATTTTAACTTATGTAATGCCAGTGACCATGGATATATTTGAGTCAAATATGTGTGAGTCAAAATGCTACTATTATTATTTTTTTTAATTTAAGAAGCTTGACAAAAGAGTTCAAGAAAACATTGAGGCCATGGATCAGAATTTTGGGGAATAATAAAACTGGTTGGGGAGGGGAAAACAAAGGCACTTCCAGAGGTTCAACCTGGGGAGAGGGGAAACACCAAAAAGTAACTTCAAAATCTTCTAAATTTTGATTAATGTTAGCCTGTATGTAATCATGGACACCTCTGTCTGTCATATTATGGAGTCTGTTTGATATGAGGACCAATAAAAAATTATTGACAATTTGTTGAGCAAATGGTTAATTCTATCAGGTTTGTATTTTGAAATAATCAGTCTGGATTTAGTGAGAAAAATTTTTTGATTATATTTCTTAGTGTTTATGGTTAGCTCATTTAGGGAAATATGGAAGTGCTTTTGATAAGAGATGACACCACTTTTGAACTAATAAGTGAACAATCATAAAGAGTACTAGACAGAGAAGAGTCATAATATGGAAGAAACTTGATAATATTTGTAGAGTGGAACAAAGAGGATTCAATATTCTGAACAAGAGTATATCCATAGCATATATTTTTCTCAGGAAAAATAACAAATAATTTATATGTGTGTGTTTCTTCTTATGGTACATTGTGCATTAATTAAAAATAATATCATTTTCCTGGAATGAAATGGTCAATTCTTTCTATATGTCTTAACCCTATTATATGACTAAGTCAATCTAAAGAAACTTGGCAAAACAGCAGATACAAAGTCAATGTTCAGAATTCACAGACATTTTTGTACACCAACAATGAAATATCAGAATCAGAAACCATGGAAAAAATCCTATTTGCTATAGCAACAAGAATAAAAAAGTACCTAAGAATAAACTTAACCAAGGAGGTAAAAGACCTGTATGCAAGAAACTATACAGCAGTGAAGAAAGAAATTAAGGAAGACACAAATAAACAGAAACATACACTGTGTTCATGGATTGGAAGAATTAACATCATCAAAATGTCTATTGTACCCAAAGAAATTTATAGATTCAACTCAATCCCTATTAAAACACCAATGCTGCATTTCACAGACATAGAACAAACATTTCAAAAATTAATATGGAACCATAAACATCCCCAAATAGCTGCAGCAACTTTGAGAAAGAAAAACAAAGTAGGAGGGATCACAATACCTAATATCAAACTATATTGCAAGGCCACTGTAATCAAACAGTCTGGTACTAGCATCAGAACAAACACCCAGATCAGTGGAACAGAATAGAAAACCCAGAAATAAACCCATGTCTCTCTGGTCAAGTAATATTCAACAAAGGAGGCAGAAGCATAAAATGGAATAAAAATAGCTTCTTCAACAAATAGTGGTGGGAGAGCTGTACAGCTACATGCAAAAAACTGAAATTTGACCACCAAGTTACACCATACACAAAAATAAACTCAAGATGAATAAAAGGCTTCAAAATAAGTCATGAACCATAAAAGTCCTAGAGGAGAACATAGGCAGGGAACTCTCAGATATCCCACGCAGCAATATTTTCACCTATATATCCCCTAGAGCACGGACATAAAGGAAAAAATAAATAAATGGGACTTTATCAAAATAAGAAGCTTCTGCAAGGCTAAAGAAAACAGCAAAATGAAAAGGGAACCAACTGTATAGGTGAATATATTTGACAATGATACCTCAGACAGGAGTTTGATCTCTGAAATATATAAAGAACTCACTTGATTCCACTCCAGGAAGACAAACAATCCAATTAAAAAAATGGGCAAAGGACTTGGACAGACACTTCTCCAAGGAAGACGTAAACAAGGCCCAGAGATATATGAAAGGATGCTCAGCATCACTAGCCATCAGAGAAATGCCAATTAAAACCACAATAATATGCCACTTCAGACAGCCAGAATGGCCATCATAAACAGATCAACAGTCAAATAGTGCTGGTGAGCTTGTGGAGAGAAGCCTAGTACACTGTTGGTGGGAATGAAGACTGATGCAGCCACTATGAAAACAGTGTGAAATTTCCTCAAAAAGCTAAAAATGGAACTGCCTTTTGACCCAGCAATACCATTGCTGGGGTTATATCTTAAGAACCCCAAAACACCAATTCAAAAGAACCTATGCACCCCGATGTTCATAGCAGTACAATTTACAATAGTCAAATGCTGGGAGCAACCTAAATGCCCATCAGTAAATGAATGGATCAAAAAAAACTATGGTACATTTACACAATAAAATACTACATAGCAGAAAGAAAGAAAAAGCTAGTACCCTTCACAACAGCATGGATGGAACTAGAGAGCATTATGCTAAGTGAAATAAGCCAGGTGGTGAAAGACAAATATCATATGATCTCACCTATATGCGGAAACTAATCAACAAAACAAACAAGCAAGGAAAATATAACCAGCAACATTGAGAGAAAAAATAAACTGACAGTAATGAGAGGGAAGGAGGGAGGGTGGTAATGGAAAAAAACAGGAAGGGTCAAATCAAGGAGCATGTATAAAGGGTCCCTGGGCAAAGCCACAGTGAGGAATGATTGATGGTGGGAGGTGGAGGTGGGTGGGGTAGAGGAAACTGGTGGGGGAGAAATGGAGACAGATGTGTTTGAACAATAAAAAAAATCTTTTAAGTGGAAAAAACCATCAAAATTGGTGAATTATTGCATAGCTATTTTAATATTGAAGATCAAAGAAAATGTGCAATATTTTCAGCATATTATGCTTTATTATTTCAAGAAAGGTAACTGAAACACAAAAAAGTGATTTGCACAGTGCATGGAGAAGGTGCTGTGACTGACTGAACATTTCAAAAGTGGTAAGTGAAGTTTCATGATAGAGATTCTTGCATGATGCTTCACAGCCAGGTAGACCAGTTGAACATGATAGCAATCAAATCGAGACATTAATTGAGAACAATCATATCATGTGGGAGAGAGCCAATATACTCAAAATATCCAAATAAAGTTATTGGTGAAAATAAAAAAAGGAAAGAATGTCAAAATATGACAAGTCATCTGGAAGAATATTTTTAAAAGACACAAAATGAATAGCACAACCAGATTAGGGTTATTTATACCCTGAGAGTGATCTAACTGTTCATTTAGAAGTTTTAACCAAATCTCTCAGCATTTCCCCTTTCCCAAATGATTTAAAGTGCACTCAAAGCTGTGATCACTGCCTTCAAAAATAAAACATTCATATGTAATGAAAAAGCATATCTACAAAGTATACAAAGATACTACAGAGAATTAAAAAGTAGAGTCTAGAATGGAATATAAAAATAAAATTGAGAAAAACATACCCTAGAAAGTTGTGTACTTTTATTTCTATTTGGATCTAAAGTTATTGGGGTGATAAGTTCTTTAAAATTAATATAGAAATAGATTGGCTCAGATGACAAACACATAGATTTTAAAATCATTTGGGTTTTAATGTATAACCAGAGAAATCAAATGTGCAAGAAGATCTAAGTGCTAATCAGAAAATTTTCAAGAACAGGAGCATTTGTTTTTTTAAAATCTATTAACATTATTTTCCAAGTTTAAAAATACTGCAGCATATATAATTTCTAGGTAAAGTGGATGATTTGATTTAATTTTCTATTTGAAATTTGGAGTTGCAAATATGGTTATAAGTTTGAATAATTATTATTCATCTGTAATGAATTGAATTGTATGCTTCAAAAGAGATATGCTGAGCTCTTACCCCTCAGTGTCTCAAAATGTGACCTTATTTAGAAATGAGGTCTTTTGAAAGATAATCGGGTTAAAACAAGATCATTAGCGTAGGCTCTGAGCCAATATGACAGTTGTCTTCATAAAATGGGCAAATTTGATTACAGAGGTAGACATTAACAGAGGGAAACCCACATGAGTGAATATGGGGAAAATGCTTCATAAAGATAAAGACACAGATTGGAGCAAAGCACCTTCAAACTGGATTAGGAAAGTTTTCCATCATTATTTTTTCATAAAGGTTTTCAATTCCTTGCTCTTTCTCTTCTCCTTCCAGCATTCATATCATGCAAATGTTGATACACTTGACATTGTCCCAGAGAATCCTTATACTATCCTCATTTTTTTTTATTTATTTTTCTTTTTGCTGTTCTGTTTAAATATATTCGAAATTCTGATTTGATCTGCTGTTTCATCTACTTCAATATTGACTCCCTGTAATGTATTCTTCATTTCAGTTAATCTGTTCCTTTCTGGCTGT